AGGATTTGAGGGGACAGTAAAGGCAAGAAGAATAATTAAGAAATTGTTATAATAGGGATGATGCCCTAAGCCAGGGTACTGATGATCGGAAATCATTGGTGACCTGGACTTGAGATCTGTTTAGGAGATGAAATTGGAAGGCTTCAGATGGACAATAGGGATAAGGAGGAAAGGAAGAGATTGAAGTAAGAGTTAAGGAGAGGGAGGAGTTTTGAATTGTTTTGAATAAAGGGGAAAATTGTTTTCAGTTATTCATAAAAGACTTAAAAATGGGCTTTAATCCCAAAAGTTGTTTTGAAGTTATTTCCTGCTTTATCTTTGGAGATGCTTCCTCCCACCTCTACATCAAAGCAAATCCCCCAACTGCTTTAGAAGCAGTCTTGCATTGAAATAGATATCACATTGTTTTATTTTGCTTGAATGGATACTATTTGTGTAAACATCTAATTGCATCTGCTTTGTCTTCCTTAATTGTTGTCTACTTAAGGACCAAAAGAGCATTTCTACCTTTATAATTTCATTTGCATATTGGTTTCCAGATAAATTGAAGATTAATTATATAAAGTATATGGTTTGTAGTATCAATTGAAGGTGAATGTTTTGTTTTCCTGGTTGAATATAATGGAATCATTTTGGTATGGAGAAGAAATGGTTAAAAATAGACTAGTGGGTCTGGGCGCAGTGGCTCATGCCTGTAATCCCAGCACTTTGGGAGGCCGAGGTGGGCAAATCATGAGGTCAGGAGATCCAAGACCATCCTGGCCAACATCATGAAACCCTGTCTCTATTAAAAATACAAAAAAAATTAGTTGGGCATGGTGGCATACGCCCGAAATACCAGCTACTTAGTAGGCTGAGGCAGAATTGCTTGAACCCAGGAGGCGGAGATCGAAGTGACCCAAGATCGTACCACTGCACTACAGCCTGGGCAGCAGTGTGAGACTCCGTCTCAAAAAAAAAAAAAAAAAAAATTAGACTAGTGGGTCATCTCAATGTGAAGTCAAGAGGACTTCCAGGCTTAAGCCTGGTAGCTAAATTTCTATTGGCTCTGTTCTCTTCATGATGAGTCCAAGTTTATTTTGATCTTCATCTTTCTTTTTTTTTATGAATGAAATTCTCCTTCATTCAGTCTGATAAGTAACCTGCTATTAGTACATGACTAAATAGCTCAAGCTTCTGGTTTGGATTAAGTTATAAACTTAACACAGTGGCAGGTGCTTGCGCATTATAAATGCCACGTCAAAACTAGCAAATAGAATCTTTGCCAATCAAAAACTGTTTTTTCAATCCCATGTAGGAGATAAAGCCTACATGGGAATCTTCACTGATTGTGCTGACTTTTCTTCTATAATTTTTAGTTTATTACATGTATAGCTTGTGAATTGTGGTAGGATATTTTGTTAATATGTTCTTAAAAATTCAAATCCCAGCCGAGCGTGGTGGCTCACGCCTCTAATCCCAGCACTTTGGGAGGCCAAGGTGGGTGGATCACGAGGTCAGGAGATCGAGACCATCTTCGCCAACATGGTGAAACCCCATCCCTACTAAAAATACAAAAATTAGCTGCGTGTGGTGGCGCATGCCTAGCGGTCCCAGCTACTGAGGAGGCTAAGGCAGGAGAATCGCTTGAACTGGGAGCAGAGGTTGTAGTGAGCCGAGATTGCACCACTACACTCCAGCCAGGGCAACAGAGCATGACTCTGTCTTTAAAAAAAAAAAAAAAAACCAAAAAAACCTCAAATCCTAGGGGTAAACATCAAATATTTAATTGTGCCTATTTGACTTTATAGGAGAGTTAACAATCACGTGTGTGTGTGTGTGTGTGTGTGTGTGTGTGAGAGAGATATATATATATGTGGTTAAATTTGTATAATCTTCATTCTCAAGCCTTTCAGAATCCTTATTTTTCATTTTTAACATCAGCTGCATTATTTCTTCATATAACTAGGAAAAGGGATTCAGAAATTTGGTTGATGGCTTTTTATTTTGTAGAGACAGTCTCTCTCTGTTACTCAGGCTAGGCTCAAACTCGTGGCCTAAAGTGATCCTTCCACCTAGGCCTTCCTAGTGTTGGGATTACAGGCATGAGCCACCTCATTGGCCAGATGGCATTTTAAAGAATAGTATTAGGAAAATAATAAATTTTTGCAAGTGAAGAGAGTTTAAATGTTAGCTAAAATGATGACCTAGAGGCAGCTTGTTTTGGTAAATGTCTTAGTCAGTTTAGGCTGTTGTAACAAAATACCATATACTTGGTAGCTTATAAACAACAGAAACTTAGTTCTCATAATTCTGAAGGCTGGGAAGTCCAAGAATAACTTTCCTTTAAGCAAGGTTGAATGTACCAGCTTGGAAGATAGTAGCTTCCTATTACATTGTTCACTGCATTTGTTCTAGACAGTATTTTTTCTCTTTTCTATTATTTTTCTCTCTTTGTGTGTTTATATGTTAGGGAGAGACAGAATATTTTTATGTTTTTCTTTTGGGGGAATATTTTTATTTTTTAATTATAAATACTTCTAATTTGCAGGTGACTGCAGATAAAGTTGAAGCTCTCTTTAAACCCCTTTCTGATCCCATTCTCTCCTCTATTAACTACTGTTCTGAAGTTGATTTGAACTCTGTCCATTTTTATCCTTTTATTATATATGCTTGTGTTCATAAAACAATAATTATAGTTAACATTTTACATAAAAAGTGTACTTGTAAATATTCTGTAATTTGCTTTTTTAATTTTATTTTTTATTGTTTTTACTTTTGTAGAGCCAGGGCCTTGCCTTGTTACACAGGCTGGTCTCAAAATCCTGGCCTCAAGTAATCTTCCTACGATGGCCTCCCAAAGGCTGGGTATTATAGGTGTGAGCCACCACTCCTGGCTTTGCAGCTTGCTTTTTAAATCTGTTCTGAGACTTGATCCCTATTTATACATGTGCATTGAGTTAATTCATTTTAACTGCACATATAATATTCTATTATCAGTATGTCCATTTATCCATTTCTGGTATAGAAGAACACTTAATTTGTTTTCAGGGTTTATTTATTTTTTTGCTTGTGTTTTTGTTTTATTATTATAAACAATGCTTCAAGAAGCATGCATTTGTATTCTTGAGTTTTTATTTGACTTAAAACGTATTGTGAAACTTTTAAGAATATATGAATCATGTTTGTACAGTTTATAGTTAAAAAAAGAAAACATACTGTGAACTCTTTTTTTTTTTCCCATTTATTTATTTTATTGCATTTTAGGTTTTGGGGTACATGTGAAGAACATGCAAAATTGTTGCATAGGAACACACGTGGCAGTGTGATTTGCTGCCTTCCTCCCCATCACCTACATCTGGCATTTCTCCCCTTGCTATCTCTCCCCTGCTTCCCACCCCGCACCGTCCCTCCCCTATATACTGTGAACTCTTAATCCACAGAGTAAGAAATAGAACATTCCCAATGCTGTGGAAACGCCTCTATGGCCCAAATCACACTTCTTTTCTTACTATTCCCCCACCACTATCTTGAATTGTATTTAAAAATTCCCTTGCTTTTGTTTATGTGTCCATGAACAATGTATTGCTTTGTTTACTTATTTTGATCTTCATGTAATGGATTAATAATGTAAGTATCTGATTTCTTTTGTAAGCATCATTTTTATTTTAAGTGTCATCTATGGCATTGTATGCAGTTCATTCAATTTTACTGCTATACAGTATTTCATTATTTGTATATATCACTATTTATCTGGGCTATTGATGCACATTTGGATTGTTTTTAGTTTTTTGCTATTACTAACAATGCTGTTTATGAACATTCTTATTCATGTCTTTCGTGCACATGCACGTATTTAGAGTATATATCTGGGAGCAGAATTTTTCATTTTATGGGCTATGGGCTTGTTTAGCTTTACTAAGTAATGTCAAATTATTTTTAATTTTAAAAAACTTTTAATTAATTTTTTTTTGAGATGGAGTTTTGTTCTTGTCCCCCAGGTAGGAGTGCAGTAGTGCCATCTAGGCTCACTACCACCTTTGCCTCCTGGGTTCAAGTGATTCTGCTTCAGCCTCCCGAGTAGCAGGGATTACAGGCATACTCACCATGCCCAGCTAATTTTTGTATTTTTAGTAGAGATGGGGTTTCACCCAGGCTGGTCTTGAACTGCTGACCTCAAGTAATCTGCCCACCTCGGCCTCCTCAAGTTCTAGGATTACAGGTGTGAGCCACTGCACCCGTCCACCAAATTATTTTTTTAAAGTGATTGAATCAGTTGACACTCCCAACAGTAATGTATAAGTATTCCTGTTGCTCTGTGTTCTTGCCAATGCCTGGAATTTTCTGTTTAAAAAATTTTATAGGGCCAGGCATGGTGGCTCACACCTGTTTGAGACTAGCCTGGTCACTGTGGTGAAACCCGGTCCCTACTAAAAAATACAAAAAAATTAGTTGGATGTGGTGGCATGCACCTATAGCCCTAGCTACTCGGGAGGCTGAGGCAGAGGAATTGCTTGAACCCGGGAGGTGGAGGTTGCTTTGAGCTGACATTGCACAACTGCACTTTAGCCTGGGCAACAAGAGCGAGACTCCCATCTCAAAAAACAAAAAATATGTATTTGGTGGGTAAGAAATGTTGTTTCATTGTAATTTGAATCTGTATTTCCTTGACTACCAATGAGGTTTAGTTTCTTTTCAGATATTCATAGACCATTTGTGTTTCTTATTCTGTAAAATGTATTTGTGTTTCTTATTCTATGAATTGTCTATATTTACTTTTTGCAATTTTTCTTTTTGGATTAATTTTCCTGATTGAGTCATAGCAATTTTTATGTGGTTTTAGATTTAATTCTCTTTTTTTGTTGAGACAGGGTCTGGCTCTGTCACCCAGGCTAGAGTGCAGTGGTGTGATCTTGGCTCACTGCAACCTTGGCTGGGCTGAAGCTGTCCTCCCACCTCAGCCTTCTGAGTAGCTGGGACTACAGGTATGCCACTGTACCTGGCTAATTTTTGTAATTTTTGTGGAGATAGGGTTTTGCCATGTTCCCCAGGTTGGTCTTGAATTCGTGAGCTCAAGTGATCCACACACCTCGTCCTCCCAAGGTGTTAGGATTATAAGTTTGAGCCACAGTGCCGGGCCTAGATCTAATTCTTGATATTTATATGTGTTGCAAATATCTCTTCCAATGTATGATTGGATTAAAAAAACTTTAATTTTTAATGATTGAAGTTCTTGATTTTACTGCATTTATTAGTCTTTCGTGATTTATGTTTTAAAATTTTGTGTCATATCTTAATTATGATTAAAAGATAATCTCTATTTTCTAAAAGTTGTTTGCTTTTTACTCTTACATTTAAGTCGCTAATCCACATGGAAAGACTTTTGTGTTAGGATCCACTTTTTTTTTTCCCCGTATGATAACAGATAACCGATTGTTCCAGCCTATTTGAGTAGTCCATTTTTGAGTCTCCTGTGATCTCAGTGGTTGCTTGGGTGAATATTAAGTATCTATATATGCACAGACTAAGTTTCTGGGCTCTTAATTCTGCTGTCTCCTCTGGTGCCAGTAATCCACTTGATTATTTGTCCTGATTATGATCGCCATATAAGAATTCTTAGTATAAAGTATGTCAAGTACCCTGACCTTTTTTTTCCAGGAAAACTCATAATCATGCCTTTCCATGTTGGTTTTAGAGTCAGTTCGTTGATTTCCACAATAAATGATACTAGGATTTTGAGTGGTATTGCATTGAATCTTTGGATGAAGTTGGGAAGAATCGATTGACATTGTTATGATATTGAGGCTTCCTATTTAAGAACATAATATGGCTTTGTATTTATTTTATGTTTTAAAAAATCATTCCAGTTAAGTTTTATTATTTTCTCCTTATATAAAGAACTTGTACATCAAATGTCAGCGTTTTTCCTAGAATATTTTTATTATTTATACATGATGTTTTTTAAAAACCGTATTTTCTGATTATATATAGAAATGAAACTAACTTATATTTTGGTTCTATACTTTTTTTTTTTTAAAGAGAAGGGGTTTCGCTGTGTTGCCCAGGCTGGTCTTAAACTCCTGGCCTCAAGTGATTCTCTGGTCTCTGCCTATCAAAGTGCTAGGATTACAGGTGTGAGCCGCCACGTCTGGGTTAGTTTTTGTGCTTTTATTGACTTATATCTAGAGTCTTTGGGGTTATCTATGTAGACAGTGGATAATCTACAAATAATTGTAGCTTTATCTTTAATCTTTTTTTTTTTTTCCTCTTTGCATCTGTTGAGGGTTTTTAATGTTGAATAGGGGAGAAGGCATTGGGAGGCTGTCTTGTTTTTTTAATTTTTAATTTTATATTTGGTACATTGACCTCTTCTGTACCTTGCACTTCTTTTTTTTGTTTTGTTTTGTTTTTGGAATGCAGTAGCACAATCACAGCTCACTGCAGCCTCGATCTCCTGGGCTCAAGCCATCATCCCATCTCAGCCTCCCGAGTAGCTGGGACTACAGGTGTGTGCCACCATGCCTGGCTAATTTTTGTATTATTATTATTTTTTAGAGATAGGGTTTCTTTCTCTTGCCCAGGCTGGTCTTGAATTTCTGAGCTCAAGTAATCCACCTGCCTTAACCTCCCAAAGTGTTAGGAATATAGGCGTGAGCCCCTGCACTCAGCCCCAGGGTTATTGTTTCTTTATTCACCTTGCCATTCAGTGCCTTTAAACTGGGACATTTAGCCAGTTTACATTCAAGGTTAGTATTGCTATGTGTGGATCTGATCCTGTCATTGTGTTAGCTGGTTCAATTAGGCTGACTTGTTTGTGTGGTTGCTTTGTAGTGTCACTGGTCTGTGTACTTAAGTGTGTTTTTTTTTAGTGGCTGTTAATGATCTTTCCTTTTCATATTTAGGAAATATGGTGCTGCTTTCAGGAGCTCTTGTAAGGCAGGTCTGGTAGTAACAAATTCCCTTAGCATTTGCTTATCTGAAAAGGATCTTATTTATCCTTTGCTTATGAAGCTTAGTTTGGCCGCATATGAAATTCTGGGTTGTAATTTCTTATCTTTTTTTTTTTTTGAGACGGAGTTTCGCTCTTGTTACCCAGGCTGGAGTGCAATGGCGCGATCTCGGCTCACCGCAACCTCC